ACCAAGCTGGAAATCTTCAAGGATATAACTGGTAACAGAGAATCTTATAAACAGAGATTTGGCCACCAGGCAAGAATGCTCTTGGCAACTTATTAAGAACAGTATGATACAATAAGAGGAGCACTGGTTCTAGAATCAGAGGGCCTAGGTTTGAATCCCACCATCCATACTTAGTACCTTTGTCCCCATGGACAAATCACTTAACTTCCTTGGAAGTCAGTTTCTTCATCTGTAATATGAGAGGCTGGACTGGATAGATTCCAACTCTAAGGTTATGGTCCTCTGACCACCTACTGAGATGTGGAAGGACCCTGATCTACTTCATGGAGGAAACCTCCAACCGATGAAATCCTCACAGAATCTAATTCGTGGAGATGTAGAACCTCAGAGCTGAAAGGGACCTCAGAATGCACCTAGTTCAACCTGAGCAGAAATCCCCTTCGCAGCACTCCCGACAAGTGGTCAGCCAGCCTCCACTTGAAGACATTCACTGCCTCCTGTAGCATACCATTCCACTTTTGGTTTGGTCTGATTGTTAGGAAGTTTTCCCTTATATTGACTCAAAATCTCTGCAACTTCTATCTGTTGCTTTTAGCTCTTTCCCTTGGGACCAGGAAGAATGATTCTAATTCCTAAATGTGTAAATTTGGCCAAGTCACTTTCCCTCTCTTGGCCTCAGTTTCATATTCTGTAAAATTAAGGGATTGAGCTAGAACTCTGAAGTCCTTTTCATTCTAACATCCTATGCTTCTATTCTCTAATTTTCTCCATTCTACTTGGGGACAGTTCTGTTTGGAGGTTTTCCCTTATATGGAGCCAAACTCTGCCTCTTAGTAACTTCTTTCCATTGGTCCTAGTTCTGTCTTCTACGCATAGTACGTAACATTTTTTATTATTATTAATATAATTATTATTAGCAAACAGTAGCTGTAGAGTTGTTTGACTCTTAAGGCCTTTTGTCACTGCAGAGTTGACTGGACTTTGAATCCATAGATCTAATATGACAAATATGATAAGCAGAAAGAAAGCCAAGGATGTTGAGAGAGGGAGAGAGAGAGAGAGAGAGAGAGAGAGAGAGAGAGAGAGAGAGAGAGGCATGTCCTGCTGTCTCCCTGTGCTATGCAGCTGCTTCACATCCTGGCCCAACTCCAAGGCTTCTTGTAATACAACATAGCCAAAAAATACAAGTCTCTCAAATCAAGAAGGTTGCCTCTAGAATCATATTTTCCAGTAGACAAGGTTGGGGGAGGCTAGGGGTTCAGAATAGAGCAACCAGTTTGGCCAGTCAGGGCAATCTGAAGCTGAGGAAACACTTTTCATTTCAAAGGAACTTAGAGATCACTTGCGAGTGTTTGTGGAGGGAGACAGGGAGGGCTAAGCAGGATGTCCCTAGGGAAGGGGATAGAACACAACCCCCAGCAGAGCTATGCTCCCTTTCCCATGAGGAATCTAGGCAAAGGGAAGAAATTTGGTTGAAGAAAAAGCCTTGAGTTTTGGAGAGAAATTTCCCAGCTGACACTGATGTTTTTGGTGAGAGACTTCAATCCTGTCCCTCACCTTCTACCACTCCCCATTCTTAGACTTATGGAACAAATTTCAGGGTGTTAAGATGAATAGTATAAAATTATAGAACATTAGAGATGGGAGGAACCTTAAAACCAAATATTCAAAAAAGATCCTTATTGATATCTTTTGTTTTTAAACCACCAAGATGTTCCCCTTTCCTAGAGGGCCATCTCTTCAAACAAAAAATTTTAATAATAATAAAAAACAAACAAAGAAAGAAGGGAGGGAAGTTCAGCAAAACCATTTTTAAAAATCTTAGATTATTTGCAATAGAACATAGAGTGTTAATGACTAGAAAAGACTTAAGAACATAGAATATCAGAGTCTTGAAGTGTCTTAGAGCATTCATTGAGTGTTAGAGCTGAAAGAGGTTAAAATATAGAATGTTAGAGCAGAAGGGGATTTGAAGATATAGAATGCTCAAGCTAAAAGGGACATTAGAATATAGAATATTGGAACTCAGAGGGACCTCAGCACTGAATTTTAACAATGAGAAGGCCTTCAGAATACATAATGTGAGAGATGGAAAAGAACTTATTCAATCCAATTCTTTCATTTTATTGATGAGAAATCAGAGGCTCCTAGTGGATGAAATGGTTTGTCCATGAGTGAGTTTTGAAACCATGGCCCCCTTACTCCAAATTCAGGACTTCGCCTATGCCATTAATTAACTCATTGACCTTCAGCTGGTCAGTTCTCCTCACTGGGCTTTAATTTCCTCTTCTATGTAATGGAGGTGGATGAAGGGGGTGGACTAGATGATCTCAAAAGGACCTTCATTTCTAACCTTCCTGATTCTAGCAAGCACAACCCATGTCCCTAAATAGTACATATATAACCTAATGCAAGTGAGTTTTCACCTTTCTGTTAATAAGAGAGCTTGGTTCAGAGCCCAGAGTTTTGGGAGTCCATTTCTAAACAAACTGAGTTATCTCTTCTTTTCATCCTTGTACAAGACCATACCCTCTGGTCACCACTGAGATTCCACCTACTGCCCTGTGACCAGAGAATTGAAAGATCATATTTTGGTGAGATCTCATTGAAAATTGGTAGAGATCTGTGATATATGGTTTCATTTATTTATTTGTTTGTTTATTCTGGTTGGCATTTATTACATCATAGGATTTAGAGCTAGTAAGATCATTTAGTCTAACTCCATTATTCTACAGATAAGGAAACTAAGGCCCAGCAAGGTTAAGTGATTTGCCCAAGGTCACACAGGTAGGAAGCATCAAAGCAGGAATGTACATCTATAGCTTCTGATTTTTCAACCCCAGGTTCTTTCTTTCCCCACTTTTAACAAACACACTATCCAAAAATGAAGGCCTTTTACCTGAGAACTAGATTGGTCAACATCCCAGGGACAAAGAAATATATAGTATGATCAATTATCCAATGCAGAGAAGCAAGAATCACTGAAATTCCTTCCTTCTAGTCCTAAGGTTTTATAAGCGTGTTTTGTTTTGTAAATGAAGAACTCCTGCCATTGTTGTCCCCTAATCCTATATCATGGTTTGCAAGCAAAATGGTGTAGTGGAAATAGCGCTAGATTTTTGCGGTGTTTGAGGAACATGTTAATGAAGGTTTGGAGTCATAAGGCCCAGATTTGAATCCTGGCTTGGACACTTAATAGCTGAGTAACCTCGAGCAAATCGCCAACCTCTCTGGACTTCAGTTTACTCATTTGTAAAATGAAGGGGCTGGATTAGATGATCTCTAAGGTCTTCTTTGATTTCTAAAAGAAAAAATTCTGTAATGCTCTGACTTTAAATTCTTGGAGACTCTTCTAGTAGAACACAAGCACTGGTAGGTCTTACCCAGCTAGAAAGCTTTTGAGTACAGACTTCAGTGGCAGACTCTGTCTCTCTCAGACCAGCTTAATTACACGTGGGGAAGCATATGACATTCATTTATTCACTCATTCAAGACATTTTTCAAGCACTTACTATGTGTCAGGCACTGAGCTAAATATTGGGAATACAAATGCAAGCAAAAAAAAAAAAAGAAGACTGTTCCTGCCCTCAAGGAGCTTATATTCTAATAGGTGAAGATAACACATAAAAGGAAAGCAGAAATGGTTGAAACCACAGGATGAATTCCTTTGGCCTCACATATTCAGGCAACCCCTTTACTAAGGTCTGGAAAAGTTGTGGTCTACACTTGTGAGGGGGGCTCCACATCAAAGTGTTGAAGTATTAATAAATGGTGAAATGATTGAGGAAAATAAGGTCTGGAATGGAAGGCAGAGGAAAATAAGACAGCTGCTCAAATGCACTAAAGAGTCAGGTTAAAGGTTTGTTGTTCCCTCCCTCACTCACCCAGTTTGAGAATAGGATACATGACGTCTCTTCTTTCTGTGCCTGCACTGATTAAAATTGCTCTATCAGATGTGGTATGCCTGGGAACCCCTAGGCTAGGAATTATGAGGCCTAAACTCACATTTCAGTTGTGTCTCTTGGCTTTGTGGCCTTTGCTAATATAGCAACCCTTTTTCATATGTCATAGCTGGAAGACAGCCTCGTCATTTTACAGAAGAAAAATGAGAGTTGTCTCATGTTGCCTTTGTCTTCACTTTAAAATGAAGAACATTGAGAGAGACAGAGACAGAGAGAGGAAGGGAGTAAGGGGGAAGAGAGGAAAAAAGAGAGAATAGAGAGAAGAAAGAAAAGACAGAAAGGAGGGGAGTGAAGAGAGGAAAAAAGAGGGAATAGAGAGAAGAAAGAAAAGACAGACAGATGAAAGAGAGGAAGAAAAGGACAAAGGACTAGAGAGGCAGAGTGACAAAGACAGAGGAAGAAACAGAGAAAGGAAGAGGGAGAGAGAAAGAAGACAAAAATAGAAGAGAGAAAATAGAGAAAAAACAGGAGGGGAAGAAAGGGAGAGGAAAATAGGGAGAAAGGGATAGAGAGAGAGAAGAATGAAGGGAAAGTATAAGCGTGGGAGAAGGGCAGAGAGGCATAGAAAGAACAGAGTGAAAGGTTCAGAAAAGGGAAATGTCTAAACTCATAGCTAGTGTCTGAGGCAAGATTCAAGCCCAGGTACCCTGATTCAAAACCTAATGATCTTGCCACTATACCATATTAAGTCCCTTCCCCTTTCATGCCTTTAGGTCCCTCGCGGGATTGGAAAAATGGTTGACTCAAACAATTGTAGAGCCTTAGTGGTCCTTAACCTTTTTTTTTTTTTTTTTTTGTCATGGATCCCTTTGATCTGATGAAGCTTCTGGAACCCATCTCAGAATAATGTTTTAAACTGCATTAAATACAATATATAGGATTACATAAGAAACAAATTATACTGAAATAAAAGTGTATTTTTTGTGCCATTCATAAGCCCCTTGAAATCTATCCAGAGACCTATATATAGCCACTCCAGAAGGGATGAAAAAACCGGGTGCTCTCTGAAATCTCATTGTCTCTTTCCTTCTTCCTTAGGGACCCAGGACTGTCCTAGGACAGTTGAAGGCTGAGTGGTCTGTATTTTCTCCTACTTTCCTGGGAGGACAAGCATTGACCTGGGGACTGATACCTCATGGTGCTGCCTGCCTCCAAGCCTGTGTCTAACAGTGACCTCCTTTCTGCCACTGGAAAGGTGACAGAGGAGCTCAGGATCTGAAGGCAAAGGAGCAGTGAGCCCTGGAAGGAGATAATCTGGAAGGAACACAGCTGATCAAGAGCTGGGAGATGAGGGCGAACCAGGAAACTGCAAGTTGCTGCAGCCAGAGATCTCCAAACACCAAGGTCTCTACGAAGGAGAAGAGGGTTAGCATGGGCTTCCCTGTCCCACCTAACCCGAGGACAGTGACACAACGCTTCGACACTCAAGGGATTTTATTTCTTTATTATTAACAAGTTCATGGGAGTCAGCTTGAACTGGCCTCATAATGGGACCCAGGGGACAACAAGACCCAGATGGGCTGTGTTGTCAAGTTTGAAAAAATAATAATCGTTTTAACATAAATGGAAGAAACACTGAAACAGCTTAACTTTGTACTTTGACATTTGATTCTCCGTTATGGTTCTTTCTCTCATCCTCTCCACAATACTTTGCCCACCCCAACCCAACTCTTTTTTCCTCCCTTTTTCCTTCTCTCTCTTTTCTCCTACTTCTTTTTCTTTCTTTCTCCATCCCCTCTCTTCTCTCTACATCATCTGTTCCTCCCTCCCTCATTTTCTCTCTTCTTTCTCTTTTTCCCTCTCTTTTCTTCTGTTTCTTCTATACTCTCTTTCTCCTCTCCCTCCCTCCCTCTTTTCTTTCACTTGCTCTTCCTACTTTCCTTTCTTCTTTTTTCATTCTCTATTTGCCTGTTTTCTTTATTTTTCTTTCTCTTTTTCTTCTTTTCTCTGCCCCTTCCTTATTCTATTTATTTATCTGTTCCCTCCTCCTTAGAGCCTTCATGCTGCTCTGACCAAAGGGAAGTGGGGGGCAGTGCAAATGTTTAGTTTTTCTGACACTCCTATGAAGCAGAGTGTGATTGCAGGTGTGTCCCTCCATTCCCCTCCTCTATTTAGAGAAAAGGAATATTATGAAAACACAAACTTTCAAAAGGATAGAAGAAAAGAAGAATTAACCATACTGTGAAAGGATTCACATTCACCACATGGTTCCTTTAAATAAGGCATTCCTATGTGCAGTTAGTGTATAATATGATTTGTGAAAACTCACATTGCACGAAACATCTCAGGAAGGAAGGAAACAAGCATTCATTAAGCACCTACTATGTGCCAGGCACTCTGTTAAATGTTTTACAAATATTATCTCAGTTTATCCTTACAACTATCCCTAGGAGGTAGGGATTACTATTATCCCCATTTTATAGTTGAGGAAACTGAGGGAGATAGAGGTTAAGTGACTTGCCCAAGGTCACACATCTTATAAGTGTCAGAGGCTGGATTTGAACTCATGTTTTACTGAATCCAGGCCCAGGGCTCTGTCTTCTTCACCACAGAGCTGCCTCTAAGGAAGACACCATCACATAGCATGTTCCCCTTTGTATGATTTGAGGACATCTTTCTCTACAGCCTGATGAAGCTTTGTATGTTGGGACTTGGGGAGGGCAGGGTCTGTGAGAAGAATCTTTTGAATTTATAAGAAGAGAATGCATACCATAGCTTCTGGTTAGTATCTAGGAGGGATAATAGATAAATCACTGGATGCTGCATGGGGACAGGAAGACTTGAGTTTGAATCCAGTCTCTGATACTTATTAGCTGTGTGACCCTGGCAAGTTACTTTACCTCACTTATCCTCAGTTTTCTCATCTGTAAAATGGAAAGAATAGCACTTATTATGCAAATTTATGGAGATAACATATGTAAAGCACTTTGTAAATCTTGAAGTGCTATGTAAATGTTAGCTATGGATCTCATTCATAGAACTCTATAGCTAGGGGGAACTTTAGAACACAGTACAGAATGTAAGAGCCAGCCAGTACTTAGCACATAGAATATTTTATTTGGAATGCACTTTAGAGGCTATAAAGCCTAGCAAATGCCTGAGAGACTTAATCTAATTCAACCCTCTAATCTTACAGATGAGGAAACTGAGGCCTATATGGGGAAAGGTCATATAGTGAGTCAATGACAGAGAAAAGATTCATACTCAAATATGCTGACTCCCAACCCAGTCCTTTTTCCATGATATCATCCTGATTTGACTCACCTAGTAAGGATGAATGCTCTTAGAGCACTGAAAAAGGGGAAGTTGTTCTAAGTGCTAGGAGCTAGTAAGTAATAATAGGTTTCATTTCTATAACACTTGACATTTTACAAAGCACGTTTACCATATTAGTCCCATGAGAGAGACAGGGCAGAGATTATTTTCCTTATTTAACATATGAAGAAACTGAGGCTCAGAAAGCAAAAAGGACTTGTCTGAGCTCACACGATTTAACGGTAGCAGAGCCAAGACAGAATCCATTTCTTTCAATTCAATTCAGTACTCCTTATAGAAGTATACTGTAATGTACTACATTGTCTTTGGAAAAAGCTAAGAAATGTGTGACTTGAGGCATCTTCATCAGTAAAATGAAAGCACTGGACTCCATCCCTAAGGTCTCTTCTAGCTCTGACATTCTGTGACTGATTTGTTTAGAGGTCCCCTGAGTATCACAGTGAGTGAGCCACTTTGGGGAGTAGGTGGGGGTGGGGTGGGGGCTAGGGAGGAGGAAGGAGGGGTTGTCTATTGAGACATAGATATTCAGCATCCCATCGCCCTCTGGCGGTCAGAATATATCACTTCGTCCTATTTAATGTTTCATTAAAGTAATATTCAACATACAGAGATACAGAGAACAGAGCTTCCCAGTTGGTGCTGAGGGGAAAAGACCAGGGGGGTTAGTGGCTTGTAAACTCAATAAGTCAACAGCATAACCTGGTAGTCCCCAAAGCTAACTCTATCTGCACCTAGGGTGCATTAGTGAACATATACTTATCAGAACAAGGGAGGAAGTAATCCTGCTGATCATTTCAAATTTTAAGTTCCAAATTTACTGCCTCCCTTCCCTGCCTCACCCCTCCCTAAGACAATAAGCAATTTGATATAGGTTTCATATTATCAATGTTCTTTAAAAGCCTGCTGTGGACAGAATCCCATGCTCAGCTCTGGGGCAGATACAGAGTTAAGAAAAGACATGATTCCTGCTCTCACAGAGCCTAAAGTCTGTTAAGGGCTAGATGACCTAAACACAAAAAACTATAATATGCATAAATAGATAACAGCAAGATTACATAGTTAGTGCATTCGACGTCCAGAGTGTTATTAGAGGTCTCAGGAAGAAATTGTTACCAACTGGAAACATCAGGAAGGGCTTCCTGGAAAAGGTGGCATTTGAAGTGAGTTTTAAAGGCAAGATTTCAACAAGTGAAGAATTTCTGGCCATTACCAACAAGGGTACGGAGGCATGTAGGTTTGTGAGCTAACCAGCTCTCAACGGATAGAACAGGATTTCCTAGACTCTGGAGCTAGAAGGGACTTTAAAAATCATGGCGCTTTGGTGGTAGAGTGGATAAAGGGCTAGGCCTGGGGTCAGAAAGACCTGAGTTCAAATCTGACCTCAGACACTTATTAGTTGTGTGACCTTGCACAAGTCATTTAACCCCTATGTGTCTCAGTTTCCTCATCTGTAAAATGGGAGTAATAGAATCTATTTCACAGTGTTGTTATGCGGATTAAATGAGATCATTTTTGTAAGGCTCTCAGTATGCTGTACACACTTAAGTCTTTCCCTTTAAAAATCATCTAGGCCAACCTCCTCATTTCACAGATAAGAAAATGAAGCTTAGAGTGAGAAAGTTACCTGATCAAAGTCACACAGCTAGTAAGTAGCAAACCTGGGGTTTGAACTTCAAACTGCTCATTCTTTCCAATATGCCATATTAGTTTTAAACTTGGGTTCAAATGCAGACTCTGAAATCTTTAAGTGTTTCCTTAAAGGAGCCACTTCTCACTTGCGAACTGTAGGGCTCCTTCTCTTTAAAATGAGAATAATAACTGTTTCACTCCTCCACCAGATATACAAATAATAATAAATACCAATAAGTACCTCGTTGGAGTGTGGAGATAACCCTGGGTTCTAGAACGCTAGGCAGGTGAGGTGCAAGTTCTGGTGAGAAGTGGTAAACCCTGATTCTTGTTTCTCTAACCCAGAACATTTCCTCCCAAGAACCTTGGGTGGGAAAGAGTATAAACATGTCCTTTGCAATACTGCAAAGATAGGAAATTGCATTTCAAGTAGGGACCCAAAGACACCGTGCCCATCATTCAAGTACAGAGTACAGAAAAGCTCATCACCAGGGTGACAGATTTGCCGACATTTCTCAAGGACCATTGACTATGATTGAGGGATTATGGTCTGTGTCAATGGAGGGAGTACCTGTACCACTAAAACTACAGGTTCAATATAATTTAACAAACATTTATTAAAACAACAACAACAATGTGCCAGGAACTATACTAGGCATGGGAGATTCAAAGACAAAAATGAAACACTCCCTTATCCTTAAGGAGCTTACATTAGACTTGGGGGGGGGGGGCCGGAGTGATACTATGTACACAAATAAGATGATATAGAATATATACAAGGTAATTTTGGGTATGGAAGGATGGGTGAGTAGTGGTGCACTAGCACCCTGGGGGATCAGGAAAGGCTCTGGGACAAATGAAGCTGTACCTTAAAGGAACCAAGGGCCTTCAAGTGCCTGGGGTTAGGAAGGAGGGAGCTTGAGGCATGGGGCACCATCTATTCAATAAGACACACACAGATGGGAGATGGGATGATGTGTAAGAGGACTATCAAACAGGACAGAGATTCTGAACCTTTTTGCATGTGTCCTGGAGCCCTTTGGCAGGCTGCTGAAGCCATAGCTCCCTTCTTAGGGTAATGTTTTTAAATATATAAAAATAAATGCCTATTATTGGAATACAGTTATCAAAAACATATTTTTTAAAGTTCTTAGACCCCAAATTAAAAACCTCTGAATTAGGGCATTTGGACTGCAAAACAGCATGCATGAGGGGTGGGGAGAGGTGGATTAAAGCTTACAATGATAGATTAGAGACAGATAATACTGGGTTTTAAAATGTGTGCTTTATCCTAACAGTTATAGGGAGCCATGAAAGCACTGAATATCCTTGAAGCATTGAGTACGTAATCTCTGCATTCTGAGGGCTCTGGTAAGAAAAGCATTTAAAAAAAAATCTTTTAAGTGCTATAACACTTAGGGTTGACATTAGAAATAGCCATTCGAAGTGGGGGTGGACGGGAATTGAGGCTACCAACATCCTAGTTCCGCCACTTACTCCTTGTGTGACCTTAGGCAAGTCACTTTGCCTCTCTAGGCCTCAGTTTCCTCATCTGTAAATTCAAGAGGTTGGACCAGATGGCCTCTGAGTTGTAGTTCCATGAGCCTGTGATCCCTTAGGCATACGGTTCTACACTTCTCCCTTCTCCAGCCTAGAGAGCAGATTAGTCATTCTGGATGTTGGC